CAATATATTTCCAACAATCCTCCTCCATTTATTGAAAATATATAACATGCTCAATTCTTGCCAAATAGACTACTTATCAAAATTTATGCATAATAGAAAGTGTCTTAAAGATTGAACTTTCATGTAGTACAATATTGTTTACAATATTTCGGATCATAATAGTAAACTAAGCTTTGAACTATATAACCACTTTGAAATATCGAAGATATTACACACATAAATCTTTATACAATTTCACTTAGAAACTTGACACTATTAACGACCTTGTATCCATATCCATTAATGAGCTCCAACAAGTCAAGCCTTAAACTTAGTGAATTGGCCGCCATTCTAGCTTAGCTCACACAGGTAGGTCTTTTCAAATTGTGTTCTGCAATAAAACACTTTATCAAAAGATATATTAAGACATACTCAACCTCATAACAAATGCATTGCAGACTCAAGCACTTGCCTTGGGATGGTTATTATTTAAAAGTGCTCCAATCACGGAGTGACTTACTCATCGTCATTGAACTCAAGATCTAGCGTTGTACTAGACAATTAAGTTGAGCTTTCTTTCACTTGTGAGTATATTCCAAGGGCTTTAAACCTATCCCCTTTGAGTTTAGGCCATACCGCAATTTTTGTTACCAAAATCCTGAAGCCATTCTGCTTCTTTACAAGCTATAACGTTATAAACTCGGATGTCATTGTATAGTCTGTGATACAAGTTTGTTTCTTAGATGCCCATGATATAGTACTTCCTCGAAGAAGCAATAGCCTCCCACTTGTGGATGAATAATCCTCTTGATTAGTTATTCAGCTTGCATCTGTATAACCTTTTAATACAAAAGGTTCACTCTTGTAACATAAGCCGCAACTCATTGTCCTCTTTAGATATTTCAACACTCATCTCAATGCTTGCCAGTGAAATATACTATGGTTACTAATATATCTACTTAGCTTTACTATCGCAAATGCAATATCTGATCGGGTGCTAGTCATTGCATACATCAAACACCCAATTACCCTAACATATACGATAGTATATTCAAGCTGTGATACAACATTCTCACTATTTGGAACTAATTTCCAACTAGGATCCATAGGAGTGGAAACAAGTGAGCAATCCAAACTCACAAATCTTTTCAACACTTTCTCTATATAGTGAGATTGTGTTAAGGTGATAATATCACCTTTATTAATTATCTTAATTCCAAGGATAACTTCCGCTTCACTCATATCTTTCATGGAGATGTATGAACAGAGGAAAGCTTTTGTCTCTTTCTGTCACGCCCCGGACCTACCGGACACGTCAACAACCCGCCGTACAGTACGAATAGTCAACCGCAGTCCAACTGATCCATACTATACTAGGCGTCTTGAATACCATTCACACATAGCACATCCATAAACAATCATAATGTAAAATATTCATTTAAGCAGCGAAAACATCAATACAAGTGTTCAAGCCACACGTGGCAAACATGGGCATACAAGCCATAAATAATTATTCAGAAAAAATATCCATAAGCATTTAAGATAATTATTTTTAAAACAGATACGGGGGAAGCACGAACCACGTCTTCTCTCCTTGGATTCTTCCCAGAGCAATGGGCGATGGTAGCAACCTTCAAGTTCTATCTGAAACTGTGAGGTGGCCTCCTTCGTGAAGGAGAGGTCAGTACTTGGAAACATTTGACAAGTACAATGACAACTATACTAAGTATAATCAATGTTTCAATTTCCAAGACCCTCAAATAGAGTGATATTATATTATAGGTCATAGCCCTTGGTTACCCTCTTTGAAAATATACTTACTTTTATATATAAAGTCAAGTAGTCGGCCCGAAGGACCATGTTTACTTTGAAAACATTCAACCCTTTCCCCGTGACTTCAAGCCACGCCCATCTATATTAGTTCACCATGCTAGAGGCTTCCTCTAGTCATGTTTTGTCGTGCTAGAGACTTACTCTAGTCACTCTACTTGGTGTTAGAGGCTTCCTCTAATCACCTTACATACGTTGTGCTGGAGGCTTCCTCCAGTCACATTACGTTATGCTAGAGGCTTTCTCTAGTCATCCTACATTACGCTAGAGGCTTCCTCTAGTCGTCCTACATGAATGCTAGAGGCTTCCTCTAGTCATTCCTCATCGTGCTAGAGGCTTTCTCTAGTCACGATACTAGTTTACTAAGCAAATTCTATGCCTAGAGTTCCTCTATTATGAGTAGCCTATGAGGCCTACTCCTAATGTAACTTAGCGGTTACCATTTCTACCTTAAGACATCTCATAAGACTACTTAAGGTACATCTTTCACAATCCAAGCCCTTAGGATTTGTTCTATCACTTTTCATACTAACATTTCCGACTAGTAAATTCAATACTAATCCATTTGTCCTTAAGCAACCAAGCTCTTTAATTTCATATTTATAAGGTTCATTCCTATGGAGTTTCCAATCCGTATATCATTTAATGTCAATATCAAAAATATCACTTTTATCCATTCATGATTTCTATACATGAAGTAAAAGTATATTTCATCACAAAAATTCATGGTTTATACAATCATCATACCATCATATTTATAATGCATCACCATACACCATTTACTCATAGATTTGTATGTTATGCATCTTCTATTCATAAACAATAATATTTTCATTTAGGCATTATTAATCATTAATAATCCATGAAAATCACATTTAATTACCTTAGGTAATCTTATGAAATTAACACAAGGATTATAAGCAATATAGTGAGCCATCCTCACAATATGAAGTGCTGCAATAGTTGCCTTTGTTAAGCCCTTCGACCAATCCCCGTTCTAAACCGATTAGAAGTGGAAATTTTGGACAGCAGCCAAAAGTCGGGTGGCTTTCGTGGTCTGCAACTACGAACAGCCTCCTATACTTGGCGGTTTCTGGCGGTTTCAACTCCTATCGATTCCACGACTCTTCTGAGTTAAATACCACCACCTTATAACATTATTCTACACTTTTAAACATGTAGAACTTCATATATAATCCATCATATGATTTCTTAAAACTCATACAACATAAAACTAGTTAGGAGATATACTTGAGTTCTTACCTTCAACACAAGCTATCTCTTGTTCGATTACTAGTTCCCTTCTTCAAAGTTGTTGTGTTGTGAGAGTTTGTTCCAAGCTTCCTCTGGCTCTTTCTCTTGTTCGTATGGAGTAGAGAGCAAGGGGAAATATCCTCCTTCAATCAAACCCCAATCAAAGTGTAGACAAGGCCAAAAAGAGGGTGGGTGTTTGTCTTGCACATCACCTCACTCAATAATCCGCCCCAAGCCATGCTAACTTGTCCCCTTCCCATTATTTGGGAGTTATTTGGCTGATAGAATACCCCAAGTGGGTGTAGGAAGCCCCTCCCAATTATTCCTGCTATTTTTGGCAGGTTGGACCAAAATAGCACTCGGGTTGTCCAAATATTTTTAATCAACTTTAGTTGGCACTTTATTGGGCTTCTAAAATTATTATGATGACCCAACTAAATATTTGGGAGTCCATTTCCATTATTAGGAACCCGATAAATAATTTAATTAATCACACATTAATTAAATATACCAATCAGTTACACGATTTTTATTCGCTAGGAAATTCAAATACATATCAAACTCCAAATTCAAGTACATCCGAGTGCGATGTCACACTTTCACTTGTCTTAGATCAGTGCCAAATATGAGCATGTCATCCACATATATATATAGATAAAGAGGACTGCTCAGGTCCCTCCGGAGGGACGGGAGGGACCGTCCGAACTTTACTGTTTGGGGCGGTTCCCGGTGGAATTGTTTGACGAAATTTTTTGAGCATGTTCCTCATCAAGTCTAATTTGTCCATACCAACTTTCAGCTCAAAATTCGACCGGGAAGGCAGTCAAATAAATTCTTAAAACTTACTGCACTTTATATATGCGCAGAATGTGCAGTAAGCTTCAAGAATTTATTTGACTGCCTTCCCGGTCGAATTTTGAGCTGAAATTTGGTATGGACAAACTAGACTTGATGAGGAACATGCTCAAAAAATTTCATCAAAACATTCCACCGGGAACCGCCCCAAACAGTAAAGTTCGGACGGTCCCTCCCGGCCCTCCGGAGGGACCTGATCTTTTCTGTATAGATAAATAATGACAATGTTGCCTTGCTCATTAAATTTGCTATATACACACTTATCTGATTGGTTTATTTTGAAACCATTTTTCAGCACCACCTCATCAAACCTTTGATGCCATTGTTTAGGTCGGTGCTTGTTTTAGACCATACAAGGACTTAACAAGTTTACAAACTTTCTTTTCTTGTCAGGTTGTTACACCTCCTCCTTCAAATCACCCTTTAAGAATGCAGTTTTGACATCCATTTGGTGAATCACAAGTTTGTGAATGGATATGGCCGATAAAGCAATTAACAATTTTATGGTAGTTATTCTACCTACCAATGCATATGTGTCAAAGTAATTGATACCATTAATTTCGCGTGTTGGAAAATGTGTTAAAAATTGCATTAAATGGTCAATTTTTGGGCAATATTTTTATTGGGTCCACTTCCGATTTGGATCGGGTCAAAGTGGTTTTGGATTCTCCTTGTTAAACCTTGTTAAGGGCTACAATTCGATATATGGTACACTCAAAATGGATAACGGGTGAATGAGAAATTGATTCTCGAAGTTCACTCATTGGAATGGAGAAAACTAGGAAAATGATGGGTTTCTAGAGTGATATATCCCACACCGAAAAACCCAAGGGATTTTCACCCCCTTATAAAGGCAACCCTCTTTGAAGGAGTTAAGATTCTTAGGTGGAAAGACTCTCTTCGCGCGCGGGATGCCGATCAAATCCAAGGGATTTTTACCCCCTTATAAAGGGAACCCCCTTATTTAATGTGGACGAACTAGATATTTAATTGCCCAACTGTACGCCCAAAAAGTATTACAGCTTCCAGAACATGATTTCCAAACCTTGTAATAATTAGTCATGTCCAGAGGAAAAGGGGAGGGATGCTCTCCGCCCTAACGAGCCAAGCGAGCCGAAATGGGCCCAAAGGGACGAAACAGACCCGAAAGACTGAAATGGGCCTCGCCATTCAGGCTTCGTACTGGGGCGATGTATTGGACTTCTGAACAGTAACAGACCGAGATAATATATCTCAACAGATATACAAGTCAATTGACTCGTGTGTTGTTACGTTTTTAAACCAAGTATTGTACTCTAAATTTGTAATCATAATAAAAATACAAGAAGGTGCATGCGTATGTAGAGGACATACTCTAATTTTAACGGCGTAGTTTGGTCACTTTGGTGCATGCATGATATGATGACCATTTCTTTTTACTTTTTTCTTTTAATCTTTCATAGACTAAATATTTTCAAGGGGATGAGCGAGCAGAGAAGTCCAGGTTCCGTCCAATTCATCAACATTTTGCTTGTCATCATCTAGATACGGCCACAACTCTCCCTTGTAACTACAACCAGACCTCAAGTAGGTTGTAGAAGCCCGCATGGATGAATGGTTATGGACATGAGGATGAGCAGCAAACCAGAGATCGTGATCATTTTTAAACTCTAGAAGACCATCACATGTAGTTGATATGGTGGGCAGAGAGTTAGTGGCATCATTATTGGAAATGTCATCATTATCTATCATACAATGTCCGCTAAATAAGTCATCGAATTCAACACGTCCTTCATAGTCGCCATCATAATTGTCGTTGTAACCGTAATACCCTCTCATGGAAGCACCGCCCTCTTTGATCCACGGAAAATCAAACACGCCGGTCTCGATATCCAACGAGAAATCATTGTTGTTTTCATCCGATGATGGCGACAACGTGAACTCACGCCCTTTTGTTGTGTTGTTGTTACACGACACGATCATTGTTAAAGCTTCCTCTTTTCTTCCACTCTTCTTACTTCTCTGCCTTTCCATCATATATGTTTATTAATTAATTTATATTTGTACTATACGCATATTCGAATTAACAAAAGATCAAGATGAAATTTCATGTCAATGTGAGAGTTAAGAAAAGATCGAGATGAAATATCATGTCATTGTGAGGCACGCGTATAAAGGATTGAGTGATTCCTGATTGTAAGGCATGCACACTCTTATTTGTGATTGTCTCTCTAAAAGCCACAAGTAGGTACGCAATTCTCGTTCCACTCACCCGATTCTCCTTCCATTCTTGGAAACTAACGTAGTGCACATTATATATGTGTTCATTCTCTTCGTATTAATTATCATTGCATTTATTAAAATGGAAGGTACACTGAAGAATCGTGTGTTTCAATTGTGTGGACAACAAATTATGAACAGAAATTGACATGCAAAAAAGTATCATTAGTATAGCATCTATTTTTATTTTTTTTGCGTAAATGAAACTTTATTAATAAAGATAAAAAGATAGTACAAGGAGAAAGGGAAAAAATGCAAAGAAGAAATGAAAGCAAAAGCAAATAAAAACAAACTAAACACGGTAATACCCAACCCAAAGTATAGCAAGAAAGCCCTCCCAAACTAATCTTTGACCCTTAGACCCCTTGAATAAATCTTCACAACTCTACCCTTGATTGAGATCTAGTTCTCATAAGATGCGGCCGTTGATTCTTCTTCTTGTACATTCTTTTTTGGGTGTTCAAATTCTGAGTGGGCAGACAATTTTCTAGTGTGACCAACAAAGCTTTTTGACAAATTACCTCATTTGTATCCGAGTCCCAAAGGTCCCTCACCATTAGTATAGCATCTATATAAATAAGAAAACTAGCCAAGTAAAATGATCTAATTCTCCAAGTTTTGATTTAATTGTAACGATCTTCGATTCCTTCACAAATCAATTATGTATTTTTGTACATAATTTGTTGTCCTCATAATTTAAATCATATGATTCCCCAGTGTACCTTTAATTTTAATAAATGCGGTGATTCATATGAAGAATACTATAATAGACACATATATAATGTGCAATTAGTTATCACTTTTCAAGAATGAAAGGAGGATGAGTGGAACGAGAATTGTGTATCTGCTTGTGCCTTTGAACGATACAATCGCAATTAAGAGTGTGCATGCCTAACAATTAGGAATCGATCAGCCCTTTATCCGTGCATATTACACTATTTAATAATACTTAACTCATTAATGTCATGAACTTTCATCTCAATCTTTCGTTAATTCGAATGTGTGTGGTACAACAAACATAAATCAATTAATAAACATATACGGAGTATTAGACATCTCCATCTTATCCCATGAGAAATTAAGGATCGGGGGTGTGATGGAAAGGCACATAAGCAAGAAAAGAGGAAGAAAGGAGGAAGCTTTACCAATGATCGTGTCGGTTAACAACAACAATAACACAAAAAGGCTCGAGTTCACGTCGTCGCAGTCATCAGATGACAACAATAATGAGTTGTTGTTGGATGTCGAGGTCGGCGTGTTTGATTTTCCGTGGATCAAAGAGGGTACCACTTCCACAAGAGGGTATTATGATTACAACGACAATTATGATGGCGTCAATGAACGACGCGCTGAATTCGACGACTTGTTTGGCAGAAATTATATCAATGATAATGATGACATCACCAATAATGATGTCACTAACTCTCTGGCCGCCACCTCAACATGTGGTGGCCTTCTAGAGTTTAGAAATGATCATGATCTCTTCTTTACCGATCATCCTCATTTTAGTAACCATTCATCCATGCGGACTTCTACAACCTACTTGAGGCCCGATGGTAATCACGGGGAAGAGTTGCGGTCAAATCTAGATGATAATGATTACAAGCAAAATGTTGATGAATTGGAGGGAACATGGACTTCTCTGCTTGCTCATCCCCTTGAAAATATTGTTAGTTTATGAAATAATAAAATAAAAAGGTGAAAAGAAATGGTCATCATATCATGCATGCACCAAAGTGACCAAACCATTAGAATTATAGTACATCCTCAACATATGCACCTTCTTGTATTTTTTATATAATTGCAATACAATACTTGATTTAAGAACGTAACAATGCACTATTTTAATTTCTTCTTCATTTAATTTTAAAAGTTAAAACACTTACACAATTAAGGGATATTTACCAATGTAATCCTTTAATCCTTTGGTCGAACAACTATGTCTCACAGCTTCATTTACTAAATTACCCTTAATGATGAATAAATTAAGAAATATTAAAGAACCCTACAACAACAACATACAATACACCTTGGTTACTATTGCCTCTAATGGCATTGGCCCTGTGCAACGATAGCACCGTCACCACCCTCTGGTGACACCACTGTCTCTGCCCTCCAGCAAGACAACAACCACCGTTTAATGTTACCGCCACTGCCTCCCTCCTAAGGGACTGCCGCTGCTTTGCTCTGGTGAGACTCTATTGTCACATTCTGGTGAGAGCAGCACCCCGACATAGTCACCGTCTCCTCTGTCGCGGCCATCTCTTAGAGTGAAATTGTTATTTTAGAAAACAAATGACATGTTAAAATTATAATGGAATTTTTGTATATAAATATGTCATTGCATGTGGAAATGCATGTCTTTTCAAAATATTAATACATATCATTTAAAAAATAAACATGGTACTTTAAAAAAATATCATAATATGTATTGCATGCCATGTTAAAATAATTTTGACATTTTCATATAGATAGTGGAATTCTAGAGTTGTGAAAAAATAGTTTAAGGTATATATCTTATTTGTATAAGAAAAGTATAGTACATTCGAAATTGCCATATTTTGATACATGAATGCTTTACCGTGTAATCTCAATAAATACTTTACTTCATTTAATTTTAATCCATGGTTGGGAAAACAAATACCATTACTTCATTTCATTTAATTGCTCAATTGCTTAAATTCTATTTGGAATAACTTTTGGACGTGCACCACTAAATTCATTGTAATATAGTATTGTAGAAACTAGAATGCAAAATTGGGAGAATGTAGAAACTAAATCTAGTAACTATTCTTTCTATTGGAGATATGCCCTATAGAAATCACAGTTTATGACTTTTTTAGGGCCAGATATTCATGTTTAGTAATTAATATAGTTATAAACTCATTTAATGTTACAGTAATTATTAAGAGTTATCTTTATTAATAAAATTAGTAGTAGCTAATTAAGTATTTGACTTAGTTGTTGATTGATACACATTCTTAAGCATAATACTATAACCCGTACAGTCGTACATAGTCTAATATTATTACTATGAATATTAACAACTATAGAGCAATATGTGGATTAGCCGATGACTATATTCCACTTGTCACGTGTATGATATTTTCATATTTCACGTTAATCAATTACATAGATGTTTGTTAGACAAAAATAAAGTTCATTGGACATATTACTTTGAGGACAGTGCAAGGGTTACATGTCATCAATATAGTCCTTAATAATAACTAGTGTCATATTCCCATACCTTAGACATCATAGTTATCAACATGGAATTAATATGTTGTATTATGTGAAATTCAATGTGCATTAGGTGAAACTGAAATGTGCAACACAAAAGGTATGATACAGTGACATTATATGAAGTTGAATTGTGCATTAGGTGAAACTGAAATGTGCATTAAGTGAAACTGAAATGTGCATTAGGTGAAACTCAAATGTACATTAGGTGAAACTAAAATGTGCAAAATAAAAGGTACGATCCTATTCCATTTTTGTAACTATTATTATGCACATTTCAATTTCACCTAATGCACATTTGACTTTTACCTTTTATTATACACATTTTAATTTCACGTAATGCACATTTAAGTTTCACCAAATGCACAATTCAGTTTCAGATAATATATACATAGTACAATCCAATGGTCCAAATTAATTCTCATTTCTCTCCTAGGAGTCCTTTCTCACCAGAACCACTCCCTGTGTGTGTGTCTAGGGAGTGGTTCTTATGAGAACAACTCTTATCGTGAGAAGTGAGAACAAATCATAAACACTCAAAACAGATGAAGAATGAGTGCACAAGATCATGGTCAATTTTAATGGATGCAACATTTAAATAGTTTGTAATGATCAATAATTAATGATACGGTTTCCGTAAATCCATTGCCTCAAAACTTTCGACAGGTAAGGAAAAATTGGAAGCACTTATCAAATCACGTGGTTTAAACCTAGAAAGTACAAAAATTGTAGCTATTAAATTTTTGTGCGGAAATTGCACTGAAAGACCGAAAATGAATTCGTTACAAGAACGGCACATGAACCAGTATCCAATGCACAACCATCAATATCTAATGCACATGAAGAAGTTACACGCAATTTGCATATAATACACAAGAAACATATGAAAATAACTCACAACTATATAATAATGAGTATTTAATTCACAACAACTAATGTCTAATTCATATGAAAAAGTATCTTACATGTAGTTCTTTCAAAAAACAATGTCACTGTCAATCTCAGCAAGGTTCTGCAACAGTTCGTTCGCCAGAAGTTAGTTATGTAAATTCACAATGTCAAATACTTCTATAATTGACATATCTAGGGAAAACAATGTCAAATACTTCTGTATTTGACATATCCAGGGAAAACAAGTGAATTAGAAAATAAAATTAAAAAAGATAAGCAGATTGATCATTAATCAATATATAGGGGGTGCCTGCGTTCACGTGGCCCCTTGCAATATATATATATATATATATAGGGAGCGGTTCCGGTAAGAACGCATCTTAGGAGAAAAATGAGAACGAATCTGGACCGGTGGATTGAATTATGTGCATTAGATGATATTGAAATGTGCATAATAAAAATTTAAACTCACATGTTCATTAGGTGAAACTGAGATGTGCAGAATAAAAGGTACTAAAATAACATCACATCGTACCTTTTATTCTGCACATTTTAGTTTCATTTAGTGCACATTTCAAATCCACCTAATGCACAATTTAGCTTCACATAATGCCACTACATTGTACCCTTTGTGCTGCACATTTCAATTTCACCTAATACACATTATAGCTTTATCTAATGCACATTGAATTTCACATAAAGCAAATCTAACGGTCTAGATTCATTCTCATTTTTCTCATAAGATCATGTTCTTATTTGAACCAAAACCTATATATATATATATATATATATATATATATATATATATATATTGGTTCAGGTGAGAAATGCATCTAATGTGAGAAATGAGAATGAATCTCAGCCATTGGATTTAAGAAGTTGCACTAAAATTGGCTTTATGGTGCAGTAATATTTAAATTTTGCACATGTTGCACTAAAACTGTTTCATGTTGCACTAATATTTGACGGCGTTGCACCGAAATATCTTCATGTTGCACTAGACACGTGTAATACGGATGTTTCAGAAGTATTTACAGAAATGCCACCGCGCTAGATTGCATATTCCAGTGCATCATGAAGTGTCTTTTACTGCAACTTAGTCGAATCCAATGGCTGAGATTCATTCTCATTTCTCACCCAAAGGGTTCTTCTCACTTGAACCTTACCCTATATATATATATATATATATATATATATATATATATAGAGAGAGAGAGAGAGAGAGAGAGAGAGAGAGAAGTGCTCAGGTCCAGCAGGGAGGACGGGAGCCGCCGTCCGAACACCGCTGTTTGGGGTGGTTCCCGGTGAAATTAGGACGGTCTTCAAATAAGCAATGATCGCCATCCGTGAGGAGGATGACTGAGTCCGGTCTTCTATGGTGCACAATGTATCTAATTTGCTAAGTCTCGTATCTTCACGCTTGATCATGTGAGCTCAGTCTCAGTGATGTCGGGGTCGACCTCATCTATCTCTTGTGCTAGCTCATTCTTTGCTTCCTTGGACGTGATGAACCACCCAACCCCTCAGTCCTTGAGGTGAGTGGAGATGAGGTGAAAAGGAGTAGATATTCCTCATTGGGTTGTACGTACCTGCACATTAATGAAAATATAAATCGTAGAACAGGTTCGCCAAGAGACTTGTCGGTGTTGGACTATGACTCTGGCCTCGGCGCTGGGTCTCGGCAATGTTGGACTTGGCCTCGACCATTTGTCTGCCTTAGCACAATATGATATCCCTATAATAAAATAAAAATGACTGATAGGTCAAATGAATCAAAATATGAAAATCAGGTCATCAGATAAAGATTACTGAAAGATTGACTCAGTTAATCAACCAAAATAAAAGGATAAGACCAATATGACCAGAACAATCGGCATTAAGTAATTAATCAAGACACCAAACGGAGATGATCGAGAGATGGACATTAATCTGCCACAATGAAGAGTCCAAGTCAACAAATAAAGATGACCGAGAAATGACCGAGTTAATCGATCATAACAAATAAGTCAAGTCATCGAATAAAGATGGCCGAGAAATGATCGAGTTAACCGATCGTAATAAATAGACCATGTCGTCAAATAAAGATGATCGGGGAATGACCGAGTTTATCGATAGTAACAAATAAACCAAACCATCAAATAAAGATGACCGAGAAATAATCAAGTTATTAATATATATATATAGATTTTGGTTCAGGTGAGAAATGCATCTAATGTGAGAAATGAGAATTAATCTCAGCCATTGGATTTACGAAGTTGCACTAAAATTGGCTTTATGTTGCAGTAATATTTAAATTTTGCACATGTTGCACTAAAAGTGTTTCATGTTGCACTAATATTTGACGGCGTTGCACCGAAATAGCTTCATGTTGCACTAGACACGTGTAATACGGATTTTTCAGAAGTATTTACATAAATGCCACCGTGCTAGATTGTATATTTCAGTGCATCATGAAGTGTCTTTTACTGCAACTTAGTCGAATCCAATGGTTGAGATTCATTCTCATTTCTCACCTAAAGGGTTCTTCTCACTTGAACCTTACCCTATATATATATATATATATATATATATACATCCATCAGTTATGTTGGTCAGTTGAGGCATGAGGGGCGGAATGGTAAGGTGACTCGGACTGGGTAGACACGGTAGACACCAAATAAGGGACTGACTAGAGATGGGATTGTTGGGTTAAAGGAAGAAGGTTTGAAGGAGACGAG